GAGCACCCTATTTTGTATCCAAAATTTGACCAACGCCTGGGCTGCATATTTGACACACACTTTAAAGCACAAGTGGGATTCCGTCAATTTACAGGAGCGTAACTTTTCGGATGAAACTGCACGAAATTTTTTTATAGGCGAATTCTAACAGCGTGACTCGCAAACACAATATTGCGTACTGTTTTGAGTAAATGAAATGATCAGGACCATTGATACATGTATATTGGAAAGTTAACTTCAAATTATTTAACTCTTGGAACATTTTACGGTTCGCACTAGGCTTGCACGTAATTGACAAAAATCAATTCCGTAATTACGGCAAAATCAATTACGTAACGACCCCGTAATTGCGATATTTTTCCACGCATTTAAACCTATCATAACAACCAATTGAATCCACTTCTTTTCCGAATGGGACATTGAAGTTGGGTTTTCATATTCTTGGCAGTACTACACGCCGGCGGCAGATGTTAAATACAAATATCAAGGAGTGAATTCAGATTAGTTTTATTCTGATTTTTATTTTTTGTGTTAGCTTTGGTTTTCCTTTATCACCTTCGCAAATTAACCGTCCCATTTTTATGCGATCAATTTTATTTTATCATTACCGACACTGGTATACGGATATTTATGAAAACGATAGCTTTTTAAAACCACCTTAGTACTGAATAAAAATTTAACTAACTAGGTCTTATCTGAAGGGGAGAGTATATTTTAAAATCATTTTCAAAATTTAGGCTAGGTTTTATTCTCGGGAAACACGGTAGTCGAGAGCAAGAAATCGCTTTTACACATCCTCCACAACAGTGGTTCTCGAACTTTTTAAGTCGTGCCACCTTTTTATAATTCGTCAAGTCTCGCTCGCCACTTCAAAAATAAGTATATACCTAACAATAAGCTGCATATAACATATGAAAGGAAGTATGTTTTATTCAAATAATACGTGGACGGAATCGCAATCTCTAAACAATAAAGAAATGTAAATATCCAAAATAAGGTGGGTAAGATGAAATCAACAAATATTTTCATTTTTAATTAGCTCTAGGCTTAGCTCCCCCTCAAAAAATAGTCTACGCCTCGACAGAAAGTTCATTGTTTCGTCATCCAAAATTGGAGAATACGTATCTAGCGCCATCAAAATTTATTTTTTCAAAATCCAGAAGAGTGTCTAATTTTCGAGTCCAATCTGCTATCGAAAAATTATGAAAATCAGGCCGGATTCGAATCCGGCAACCGGATTCTGCACACAACTATTTTAGACCTTCTCGATAGGTGGTCCAATGTTGCGTTAATTGGAAATTTTTCGCGAACCAATGAAGCGTGAAATAGTTCTTCTGTAGTCTGCTTGGTCGGTTCCAGTGGAGGTACTCCCGTAGTATGTGTACCAGGTTAGAGTTAGGCCACAATTTCATTCCGATTTTCCTTATTTTAGTTCTATTACGAGTTCGGGAACTGTTTGTGTTAGTCAAGTGAATATACCCCCTGCCCATACATTTCAGTCCCTTCACACAATTTGATGTAAAATAGGCGAACAAAATTAGTTACGCATACTGCTCGACCGGTTCCAGTGGACATGTATTCAGGCCTATGCTTGATGGTTTTGATAAAATTATAATAAAAAATGATCCGAGACTTATAATCACATTATTAAATTTCACTCTCTCAAAGCATATGAAATGTGCACGGGTTTTGAAGAAAAAATCGTTAGGAGGCTATTGCTTTTATTGATCGTTGTGTTATTATTACGCTGTTGTTTATGTTGGTATTTTTCTTCTTGAAGAATAATTGCGTTTCGCTTTAATTACTTTGATAATTTCAGTGGTTAAATGTATTTCTCGCTAGAAGGCTATTACTTTGATTTATTTCAAAGTTTCTGTGGGCTATGTAATTCGTTTTTCACTTATATGTGATGACCGTGCTACTCTCTTGCTACACGAAAGTCGGAAGTTTTTTGACGGTACCGGTACTGTAAAAGATAAGGCAGGCTACTGCTTCGCTTTGGTCTTAGGATAGGATTAGGATTTACATATTTATCCCGGTGGGGGGGGGGGGGAGGAAAGCCGATGAGACGGCTTAACCATATGGCAAACCACGGCCTCTCGCCCGGTTACCAGTTCATGTCGGGTATGGGATTAGTTAATTATTTGTTCTTCGGAAGCATGGACTTGATGGTAAGAAAGTAATTACCGACCAGCGGTTACGTGAACCACCCTACGACGACGAGGAGTCCAGCAATCCTCTCGCACATAACTATCCCGCATGGGATTCGAACCTGCGAACCCACGCAGAGTAATCAGGGAACCACACCGCCGCGCCTTCGTGTCCATATATTTTAGCATAGCTCTTTTGTTAATATACTTTTTCTTATTTTGTTATGAATAAATTGTTTCCGTCATGAACTATTGGACCAATTTATTTAAAATTTTCAGTGGTTCACCACTAGAAAGCTTTTTTTTTATTTATTTCAAAACATTCTGTGGCTTCTATGGGATTCGTTTTATGTGTGCGATAATTTCATTTAAATTAAAAATTGCGCACCTTGTGGTGGTTGCGATTTCGCGTAAGTTTATATTTTGTTTTAGTGCCAATTTTTTGACATTTCCTCTCGGTCCTATGTGACCCTATTTTTCGCGGAAAAGTTAACCGTTTTTTTTAATTAGCGGGAAACGCCGTATTGCTTGTCCATCAATATTTTCAGGGATCGCAGGACTCACCGTACCGGTATCGGATTGCGATGGCCGATTACTTATAAATTCAACTTATGTAATAACTTCCTGTACAGGAACAAGCATAATTCGGGCACCAATTTTTTCTAAGCGCTCTGGGGCAACACCATTTTGGGTCGCATTATTGGATCTCCGCTCTGGGAGACCCTCATTATCAGTCGTTCTGTTTGTCCGAGATCTAGCGTCTTAGCGGCTGGACCGATCTGGATGAAATTTCCCACGAGAGTAAACCTGTCACCCTAGTACTGTGCGTTCAATAGAAAGTCCGGATTGAAGTTTCGTTTCCATGGCAACAACGAAAAAATGCGCCGATTGATCTGAAATCTTCCACATTTTTTACAATTTATCGCTGTTTTCTCGTCAACCATGACGGAAAATGAAGTTCCGAGAACGCTACCTCCCGCATAAGGAAATACTCTTTCGAACAAGTCACTAGCTGCAGTACATTACTCACGCGAGAATGTCTGCGAAACGCGCAATGCCCAAAATGAACTGGCAGTTTCGGCTTCCCGTTCATTACGGTACACTGTCGTTGTAGATGCACATTTGCGTGGATGATGTGCTGGAGTGCGGGCCGCCTCATACATCAGCGGAGATCCTGGGCGCCTACCGGCTTGTATTATTGCAGTTTCCGACATGCCAGAAATGCAAAAGTAAAAAAAATAGTTCGGGCTAACGTAAATGTGTTACTCACAGCAAGAAACAGCCGAGCATATGGTACTGATTCTGGGCAATTAATATAATATCAAGGCATTGACAGCATTTCAACCTCTTCAAATTGTTAGTAGTATAGGATAATAGTCGGTGGTTAGCGACAGCGCCTATTGAAACTTCCGGACAGGAAACAGGACTAGAGGGAGTAGCAGCCGGACTCCGCTTCTTGCGCAACTATCGAATTGCAAAAAAGACGTAAAAAACACTCGGGTTTATCTTGGCAATTTTGGTATTTGTTTAAACAGGGTAATGGACAATAACATGATACGTCTCATGAATTTTTATATCAAAATGAGTAATACCTAATAACATACGATAAGAGGCCCCAATCGATGCTGTTTCTTTAACGATGACGTAATGAAAAATTCAAGACAAAGTCATGTATTCGACCGTATGAAATTCAAACGGAATACATTTGGGTCAATACTGATTAAACTAAACAAGAAATCAAACAAATATCAGTTTTTTAAAATTACAAACCGGAACAAGACTAAAAAATAAAAGACGACCCTAATAAATACCAGTTCCAAGTTTGATATTGAGGCTGCTAAGCTGTTGTCGACATGGCCTAATGGTAAATCCGGCCCTGGATCATAACCAGTCACACCAATCGACCAGTATTCAACGCATACATGATGGGTGTTTACATAATTGGAAAGCTTAATGATTAAACTGATGAGTCACGAGGTGGAATTTACACTCTTGTATTTACTTTTGCAGGGTAGAGTATATCGATTGTTTAGACTGAAGCTCTATTTCCCAGTATCAAATTAATAAACAAATACTTACAGTTAGCATCTCGATATATGAGTTGTGATATTCTAGGCACTGGTATATACTTAGTACTAGGTTTTTATAGATTTTCCTGAAAGTGTCGCTCAAAAATGATTTACTGCAGTTAGTTGATTGATAAGCAGACGTTCGAGTTTTCCAAGGTTACCGTTTATTTACACAGCATTTACTTTATGTGTAATTGTGATTTAGTATAATGATATTTGGTTCCTGTAGCATTTCCAAAACGGTTGACGTATTATATACGCCTGTGTGCCTTCGCAGTTTCGAATTTTGTATGTTAAAGGCCGAAATATATTACTGGTTTATGGAATCGTTGACCGTTGTTAATTCCTTAACCATCCCAGCGCGTTAGGAACAATGACCAGTTATCCTTTCCTAGTCCCAACCTGAATCGAGACGATGGGATTTCCTTTTTCTTTGGTGTAAATATAAAAATATCACCGCATTGTTTAGCTGGAGTGTTTCACCACACGAAATCGTACTATTCTTTTTATTTTAACATATTATATATCTCATTTTCATTTTTTGAACATATCATCTAGCGAGGTCGCAGTTAAGCAGTTGTTGTTAAGAATTCGAGAAATGACATCTTATTTGAGAAATAAACTTAGTACTATGAGACAACAGAAGCGTTTTTCTGATCTCACAATCACAGTGGGAAGTGTCGAGTTCCAGGTTCACAAGAACGTGATGTCAGCTGGTCCTGATTAGTTTGATGAAATACTATCACAAGATAATTTGGAAAACAACACAGAAGTTGTCGGTATGAAGGAAGTTAAAGCGGATTCAGTAGGCAGGTGCATTGATTACATTTACATTGGAAATGCTTCAATTACTTTCCAGAAAAGTGAACAACTACTCCATGTTGCAAATATCATGCAATTGCCAACATTATGCGAAGAAATCGCAGAATTTCTCAAAGCAAATCTGGGTCCAAACTCATTCTTTGTTATTAAAAAAATCGCAGTAAAGTTCAGCTTGAAGAATTTAGAGGAAGCATGTGATAAATATGCTGTAAGTCATCTTGGATCCATAGCAAAAGAAGAGGAATTCAATCAACTTGATAAAGAATATGTCGAGCTTGTGAGTGAAAAATCTATCCAGTTGAGAAGTTTATGCGAAGATATGAAAACCTCCTGTTACACAGCGGTAGTTTTAGAGGATTTCGTTTATGTTCTCCGGCCAGACAAGAAAGTTTATCGTGTGAATTTGTGGGGAGTAAATTCAAGTTGGACTGAGATGCCTAATATGAATAAAGATCATGGAAGTAATCTTAGAGCTGTAGTTCATGCAAATTTCATTTATGTTTATGGAAATTATACATTGGAGCGATTCGGCAACCATTGGCAGAACATCGGTGGCCCTGACCATTCACTACCCTGCTACGGCACGTTGGTGGCGTGCAGAGACGATATTTATATCATTGGATCTTACGTAATTAAATATTCCCCTTCTAAATGGTCCTCGCTACGTATGAAAAGTATGAATGTTGCCAGAAAAAATCCAGCTGCAACCGTGTATAATGGAAGAATCTATGTTGCGGGTGGAGGAGATAAAATCTCAAGTGCTGAGTTTTTTGACCCCGATACTAATACTTGGGCAAATCTGGCTCCAATGAGGATTCCGAGATGTAACTTCAGCCTTTGTGTTGTTGACAAAATCTTATTCGCAGTTGGGAATAATGGGACTTTGTCAGTTGAAAAATATGATTTGGGGAGAAAACAGTGGATAATAGTGTCGAATGTACCTTCTATGTCGATAGTACCTGCAGCTTGTAATACAATTCGAATCCCGCTATATTATTAAACTTAAAAGATATGCAGAAATGCAATGTCAGTGGACAGTTCAAACTGAGTAAGTATAAATTTCAAGTCATCCGTGAGCATTGGTTTTAGATGCAATAACTTCACTGCAAAGAATTCGAACATTAGACAATCCTCTTCATCAATACCCTGAATACGCCTTAGTACATTTGGAAATTGTCCGCCATCATGGTAGCTTTGCCGTATATTTAAGTCTACGAATTTGGTCACATACTACATAATGCATTAGTCTTCGTAGTTGAACAATTGTGTATGTATGATATATATATATTAGTTAGATGTTTGTATTGAAAATATTTTATTCTTTCCACAGTTTCAATCAATTTGGTTCCTAATTTTACGTATTAATTTTCTCTATATTAAATATTTTTTCAATTCATATCATAGTATTATATAGATCTTAACGCATTAGTCGTCGCTTGCATTTATTTTTTCCGTACTCTTTCACTTTTAATTGAGGGCTCGGGACTTTGCTTCGAGCAAGGTTGTATTTAAGTACTTTGCGCTTTATGTATTCTAGTAAAGTTACTGTGCTAATTCATACGGAGGACATTAAATCGAATTGATTTGATATACAATAAAATGAAAATAATTCAAAATATTTAAATCCAATTTTTTGAATAACAGTCAAATTTTGGAAGCAGGCCGTGGTTATGTTTTGGTCAATCAGTGACGTTGTTTTGCATACCTGAGGCTGCGCAGATGTAGTCATTCAAAGACTGAAATCGCGATCTCGTGACTTGTGATTTGTCCTTCAAATTATGTAGCACGTATCCGTTGGGTATCACAAGTAAATAATGATTAACAGTTAGCAATTGCCGCGTCTGCTGGTTGACTTGTGATATATATATAATGTTCGGGATAATATAACAAACTGAATATGCTTGAAATTTTTGTCAATTGGATTATCTGACATTTCACGTCAATGCAATGTAAATTTCAGCTAAATAATCAATTTTGGGTAATCAGAGATTATAAAGCCTGACAACTTATTCATTGACATCTTCACCAGCAACGTAACTTCATATTCATTTGCTTTGACAATCGAAAGCTTAGCCTTGTCTAATAGGATAGGATTTACATATTTATCCCGGGGGAGAAGAAGCCGATAAGACGGTTTAACCATATGGCGAACCACGACCTCTCGTCCGGTTACTTGAAGAAAATTGTACGAGAGTTCGTATACATTGAAACGTGCTGTGAAAGTGTAATCGAAGAAGCTTCCCTGTCCGTGCCAAGATTGATAATTATGATCGATACTCCCGAAGTATGTGAACTAAGATGACGGACACCGGAACGTTGTGTGTTTACCAGGTTAGAGTTAGGTCATGATTTCAGGTACGAACACTACGAGAGTCACTTAGCTAGTCCCCGAACTCGTAATAGAATTAAAATAAGGAAAATTGAAATTAAATTATGACCTAACTCTAACCTGGTACACATATTACGTTCAGGTGTTCTTTATCTTGGTTCACATACTCCGGGAGTACCTTATAATCGGCCCCATATGATCAGGTTTTTTTTTATTTTTCATTTTATATGGTGCTTTTCAAACCTACATAAACCTGCTCTACGTCGCCCCCTTGCGACTTGTTGAAAAGCATAGCGACGGGCGCTTGATCGGCGGGTTTTTGATCGTCTTTGAATCTGCCATTGTACATTTTCAGTAATTTTTATTAAAATTTACTATTTTTTGACCATGGAAACACAAATTTCAAATAGAGTGGAATAATAGAAAACCCAAGAAACCAGGCGATATTTCAAAAAGTTGATTTTAGAAATACTGAAGTCACCCCCAAAATACACTGAATTTACTTTACAATGAATCTAAATGAAAAACACGATAACGCGCGATAACGCTTTAATCGTAATATACAAAAAAAGGAGTGCACAACTGAATTGGGTAGGCGACTCAACGTTTTGCTCAAACTTTGTTAAATTTGCTATAAACTTTGTCGAAGGTATCGTATGCGAAAATTTATCCAAATATAATAACAATGACACCTAGTGCACGCACTCATTACAATTTGGCGGAATTATCTTGGACTTCACTGGTCAAATGCGTATTGATGCACTATCTCCGGCGTAATCTATATGCTTCTGGCTAGTTTTATTCACCATTCCGCAGCAAAATAGAGTAAGAGCAGAACACGTTCAAGCCGGTTAACGAATTGCGTTCTGTCTTGAACTTCAAAAATTAACGGGCCTCTTATTGGTTTGGTTACGATTGGAAAAATAGGCGCTCCAGAAGTGTGTGTACCAATATGAAGATAACTAATTATGTTCGCCTACTTTACATCAAGTTGTGTAAAGAGACGACCGAAACCTATGGACAGAGGGTATATTCACTTGGCTAACACAGATGATGCTGATTTTGCTACTGAGTGACAATTTGCTTTCAATCATTAAAGTAGAAATATCTAAATGAAAAAAAAGTTTTGTTTTTCCTTTGCACGAGTAAACTAATGGGCCAAAGAATTTTTTGTGCAACAAAAGTGGGACACGAAACAAAAAAAAGGTTAAGAACCGCTGATCTAGGGAGACGAAAGCCTTGTAAGACGCAGTTTAACACTCAATCCAGGCTGGGCTTAAAGAACTTCTACCATGACGTGGAGAACAGTCGAGTGGGAATATATATTTGCTTTATTGAAGTATATGTATAGTACAAGCATAATATAGCATCACAATTAAGCGTCTCATCTTTATAAAAAATAATTCACTGACGATGCAGTATGTTTTATAAGAGTACATAACACATCTTCATGGCGTTAGTTACGGCTTCCAGTTCGGCCTCGCAATTTTATGTTTTCTGCTATGCATAAGCGATTTCATTTCGGTTTCCGACGTACTCTGGTGAGGATAATCAAGATTGGGTCGCAATGTTGATACGAGATATCCAGGGGTTTGTGTTGACTTTCCTGCGGTAGCGGGACGGGTGGATATTGGTGTTTTCGATCGTTGAGTGGACTGCATTTCGTAGGTAGATGGGCATTTTCGAATTTCAGTGGAATCTTTTTCCGGCTTCTCAGACTTGTGAGAATTTATGGATGCTCGGGATAAAGACTGAGTAGGGGATGATATAACGGGCGATGCTGGGGTTGGTTTCATTCGACATGCTTCATGGATGTGACAATCTTCTGGTTCTGCGTTTCTCGACGATTCTCTCGTTTGTCGAGAACCTGAAATAAGGCGTAACTTGTTCTTTAGACGAATGAAAGAAATAATACTTTATCTTTACCAGGGGTGTGCAAGCTGTGGCCCGCGGGCCAAATGCGGCCCACAAGAAAAAATGTGCGGCCCCCGGGAGGGCCAATTTTGAATGGTCTGCGGTCCACGAAACGAGTTTACAATTTATTTCAATCAAGTACGTGGAAAGCTTATTTCAGAGTCGAATTTATTATCTATGCCTATGAGGTCACAATGCCCTAACAGCTGATAACTGAATTTTTTGTGCCTACAACTGCTAAAAAGAGTATGATAAATAAAGGTGCGGACCCCACAGTTTCACCCAGTTACTTGTATCTGGCGCATCTGTATTATTGGTTGCACACTCCTTTTATACGCATTGAAAGATATTTTTGAATACTAATTGCTAGATAACGTGAAAAATATGATCAGTGGCCAATTTGAAACTAACGTTCCCTCCTGAGTGTGAAACAGTATTATGATGACAAAATGAGTGTTTCCAATGTGATGCTATTTTATCGTATTTATCTTTGACTGACTGCACTTGGGGTCCGCGACGAAATGAAAAGAGCCTGATCGATCTTTAATGATTGATTTCTAACCATTACATCTTTTTGTTGGAGCGTTGCAGACGAATATTATTTTTGCCATGAAGGGTTATTAAAAATATTTATATGTGTGAGACGGCATTTCAGCACCGATTTTATGACAAAAACAGGCCCAGACTTGCGTATGGTCGGCGCTACGAATTTTCTTGTCACAAATTGCTACGACAATTGATAGATTATGCAGTCGAAAGCAATCTCATCCAACACATCATTATTGTATGGGTTGTTGCCATGCAAATGAAGCCGTATACTTCTTCATTGTTAGGTACAGGAATTCATTCTGTATAGATTGGGGTCCAAAAAGTTTGGGAAACACTGCGTTAGGGTATAAGGAATATCTAGCTAGATAATAGTTTCAGATGGATTTGATGAATCGACCAGCGGTTACACGAATCTCCTTGCCACAGTGATATATTCTTTAATATTTCACTGTAAAAATGACTTGCCTGTTTTTTTTTTCAAATACGTGAGTCTGTGTAGAAGAAATTTACCGCTTCGCAGTGAATATAAAATATCCAACTTAAATACAGAGAGTCCACAAAATTTGGCCAGATTTTTAAGTAAAAACAATTAAAAATTTTGCCCATTTTATAGTAAGAACAGCTATAAGGTAAATAAATTTTATTGTATGATATATATATATTTGATTTCCTTTATTAGGAAGTTTATGTCCGGAAACCGAACTCCATCAATCGTCCTTTCCAAATAGAAAGTTTGTCTTTAAAAATTTTTTATTGTGTGGTTCGGTAGTTTTTTTAACACCACGTAGAAGCATTGGTTAACTTGCATACAATCATATTTTTGTACAAATTTTAAAGTATGGAACACTGTGTACGTTTCACCTCAATTACCAATCGTTGACAACAAGAGGCCAATAAACAGTTGATTTTTGGTACTCCCGTAGTGTGTGTACCAGGTTAGGGTTAGGCCATAATTTTATTCCGTTTTTCCTAATTTAAGTTCTATTACGAGTACGAGTTTGGAGACGGGCTATGTTAAAAATTGGTTTCCTTCATACTGATACACACACTTCTGGAGCACCTAATTTTTACCTCTGGAAGACGATTTTGCTCTGTAAGCTCTTGTTGCTTCAATTCTTTCAACGACTTCTCTCGCGCAATCCATAGCTACAGGTATAACACTGACGATGCCACCAAAATGATTCTTCGCTTCATCGCAGCTCAAGTGATTTACTTGGTCGTTGGGAAATTTTGCTCGGATATGTGAAATGTCCTAATGAAAAAACATTGCAATTTACAAAATTCTGAAGAGAATTATGATTGTTTTAAAACTTGAAGCAGGCCGAATTTACCCTATCGACAAAATGCGATTCCTCTTTTTTTTATTTCACAGATATTATAACGAACTTTAGTTGTCTAAAATTACTCTCTCGTTTCCACCGACATTTTTTTTGTTTTGTCATACCAAGAGTTTACTCACTATATATAGTTCGAAATCTAAGCCATGTGTACAAACAATAGCGAATTTTGGGTACTCCTGAAGTATGCGTACCAAGATGTCGCACAACCTGAACCCTAAACTGGTACACAACCTGAGGTCAGGTTGTGCGCCATCTTGGTGCGCATACTTCAGGAGGTCCGAATTTTGTATCTGAGAGTTCCCTCTGGATGAAATTAACTGAATACCTACATTTCTATCACAATAAAAAATTTGTACAGCGCGTCAAAGATCGATTATAATAACTCTATCAGTATTATTTCTAATTTTACCTCAAAGTCGAGACCTTGTTCTAGATTACTGGTTCAAAAATCCCGATGACATAATTTTTACGATATTAGTATTATAAACATAAGTCATACTTGTCGTTGTTCCAAAACACTTTTCCAAGTTTTGAACAAATTATTCAATTTATCGTCATTTTTTTTCACGACTTTTGAAAGTGTTCTTCGAAATTCTACCAGATCATGTACAAGCGAAAGAAACATTGAGAATATTCTTTTATCTGTTGCATTATCGGCAATTTCTTCGTAGTAGTTTTGTACCTTAGGAAATAGAAAGCAAGTTTTATTTGAAAATAACGAAATGGTGGTTGATAAGTAGCCAGTCTCGACTAAATGTATCATTTTTTTTGTCTGATACGGGAAACAAGTAACATTGAAGATTGCTTTAGCGAGTGGTAACCGAGGTAAAAGTTTGAAAAAAAATATAAAAGCACTGGTTTGCTATAGAGGCAGTCTGGTGCAATCTCGGAACCCTAGCCAACGCTTAAAATAAGAAAAGTAATTATCCATTCAGACAGATTGTACTGTGAATTCAAATTTTCAAATCATTTTCAACCTCAACTGAATAATTACTAAGTTGTTATTGTAAAACATGGCGGGGCTGTTTTTCTCAAATCTCACATTTTTGCATTAGCGGCGGGGGCTTTGTACAAAAGGTCTCAATGTACAAGTCCCACTGTCGACTAAATCTATCAAATTTTGGTTCTATTTATATCATCAAGTTGTTTTGAAAAGTTCGACACAGTTCCTATCAACTAAAATGTAAATATCCAAAATGAGGCGGGCAAGATTAAATCTAGCTAATATATTTTTTTTGTTTTTAGCTTCACGCCCCCTCAAAAATTTCAACGCCCCCCTGTTGATCGCGCCACCGTTTGAGAACCGCTGCTCAGAATACAATCAAGACAACTCCGTGCCTGCAATTCATAAAATTAGGCAATAAGTTATTCAATTATTTTGCATACTTGTGATATCGTTGAAATCTGCTTCGTTGGTTCAAACTTTTGTTTTCGACATCGGTCCAGTGCTGTTACAAATATGAATTGTTGTTGTGCGATGCATTTAAATCTTCTTTCAAGACTAACTAGTATTCGCCTAGTATCTTCCATTATTGCCTGTTTGGAATAAAAGATTAGTTTATTATAAGGTGATACTATACAATATAATTTTATGTCGATCTTTTGTCTACAACAGGGGCTGTGAAACCTATATTACAGGAGAGACAGATACAAATAACGTGAAACCGCGAGCCGCACCTTTACATAACATATTTCTAGTAGTTGCAGGCACAAAAATTTTGTTATTTTTGATCTAATGATAAGCGTTGTTCGCTTCACACACGTTGGCTGTTAAGGCGTTGTAACACTATAGACATACATAATAAATTGGAATCGTGTGTAGGCTTTGCAACACAAAGGAAATTACTCGCACGTTCCAGATTACTGTATTTCTCCGTGTATAAAACGCACACATGGATAATACGATCTGATGATCTGATTCTAACAGACTTTGCCACATAAAATTAAAAACTTAAGGTTGATAAATGTGACAATTATAAGCCAGTTAAAGCATAAAATGGGAATTAATATTTTTTGATATTTTCTAGACCAATGTATAATACGCACCCCCATATTTGTGAGACTAAATTTGACCATGAAAATGCGTAAGATACGCGGAGGAATACGGTAAATTGAAAATTGGTTTCGTGGGCCGCACAATTTTCCCCTTGTAGGCCCGTAGGTTGCACACCCCTGGACTCTACAACACAGAACATGAATAAAAAAAAGAACGCAGACAACGGCCTCTGAAAGATCGGCAAAACGGACGATACCTAAGTGTTTACTGCAAACGCTGTAACCAGTGTTTGTGGCCATTCACCCACATTCACACAAGTGGAAAAGCACACAGCATGTACAGGGCGTCCATAAAATCCTTTTACAATTTCAATTTTGTTATGAAGTCAGTTCTCAATAAATTCCAACACGGTTTGTTGTTTTCAGTAATTGTTTAAGTATGTTACTTCATTTAATGCATCCGTGAAGGCCAAAACAATATATGGTATCGTTAAATTTCCATTGCAATTTAAAAAATTTTCAAGACTTCATGGACACCCTATATATATATATGATTGTTGTCAAGTCCGAGAAGTTAAAATCCAAGATTCAAAATGACGATATTGTCCGATTTGTAGTTCAGGTTACGATTGATTACCCGTCAGGATTAGAAATGTTAAATTCTCAGTGGAAGGAGATAATGTGCAAAAAACGGAGAGGTTATTTTTCAATCGAGTTCATATGGTCGGGACGATTTATTCCAATTGGTCGGAGATACGAAGCAATCGCAAATTCGAAAACGTTCCTTTGCTCAATGATCTAAAATTATATGGGGCTCCCGAAGTATGCGAACCAAGATGGCGAACATCGGAATGTAATATGTGTACTAGGTTAGGGTTAGGCCATAATTTTAGGTATAAATACTACGGAAGGCTCTTGGCTAGTCTTCGAACTGATAATAGGACTAAAATAAGGAAAATTGGAAAAAAATTATCGCCTAACCCTAACCTGTTACCCATGTTACGTTCCGATGTCCGCCATCTTGGTTCGCATACTTCGGGAGCACCAATTATAGTTTATTTTAAGGTTGTGACCAATGGAATGACCGATAACATACGAGAGTAAACTTTTTTTAATTTCCACAATTCACATTTTGTTGACGTAACCCCACCTCAGTATGAGCCAAAATAAAAAAAGCCTTGTGACAAAAGTGAGCAACAAATTAGGATCCATGTGCATATAAACGAATACAGATGTAAGCTTTTTGCGCACTGAGAAATCGAGTTTAGAAAATATAGTTTGAGGGTTTGCATCAAAGTTCTGCAAATTTCATAAAATTTCACTCCAGCTTAATTGCCCACTAATATGAACTATGTATGGTTCCGCGAATATCTTGACAAGAACGTTGTTACTAAATAAAGTTTTTAGTTAACTGATTCACTGGATTTTGTGGTTAATTTCAAATCTAGCGTTTTCAAACTGGAATTTTCAAAAAGTTACTCCTGCCACAATGAACAGATATATAACTTTGCACTACAATCTATTTTAGTAGACACATATAAAAGACGCGAAATTTCTGAATTCCCTCGTTGGCTAACACCTTACATGGGTCTACCTACCTAAATATTAAGTGAAATAAAAACTATCCGTCATCTTTAATATTTAAAATTGCATCTTAGACATCATTGAGTGTCCGAAATAAGTAAGATAAATACCAATCAATTTCATCAAATAAATTATTGGTATTGCTATAAAAATATTTGCTATTCTGCTTGATAAGTCGCTTTAAATAAGTAGCCTACTATCATCGCCCGTATCGTCTTTACTATATAGCAAACGAGTATCAATTGTCCCGTATGACGCTTTACTACTTGAATTCTGAATTGCCACTCGATACTCTTGAGTGAGGCATCAATAATAAGAGAGCGATGTGGGCTGCACAAAGGAACTGACCACGATTTCCAAGCTCATATTGTTCGTGGAAACTGGTAATTTTGATTGAAACATTTCTCGCATTTAGAGAACGTTATTAATGTGGTAAATTTGAAATTTCAGCTAAGTTTACAGAAAAATATTAAAAACTTTTTGTCTTCTAAATTAAATTACTTTTCCATTTTCTCTACTTTTCCCTATATCGGAACTGCAGAAAACGACTTCAATGGCGTAAAATTTCGACATAAAAATTCAGTTGACGAGAGCTGGAATAAATACAAATCTATCTGTTTGGTGACAAGTATGTGTATTGCTAATAAATCATAGCGTTAGATAAAGATCAATTTTAAAAATATATATTTGGTACTATCTTGTTATTGTCTCGCTACTCTCCGTTATTTTTTATTCTGTTTATCTTTGCGTTAGAACCTATATTGGGCAATAAACTATCTTATCCTGACCTACGATAAACCAAATAAATAAAAAAAGATAAGAAAGACAAGTATTTTACAAAATTTTGTAAAATGCTTGTCTGAGGAAGTCTTTGATCGGACAAAACGTTACAGAAATACATTCGTGTTAGTGTGCAGCAGGACATTATTGTTCGAGAATAATAGAGCAATACTATATGTTATTTTGAGAAAACCGTTACTGCTTTCGCTGTCACCCCGCCGACTTCTCCTGCCCACTTCATGAATCCACGAATCAAAAACAGATTTTAACAATTATATTTTTTAAAGCAGCATACGTCATTTTCATACTACCATGTATGGTTTGTCGAATTAACCTGCGATCACAATTGGGCCGTTCCGGCTCGCAACAAATAGTGAAAATATTTTCCACGCGTCTTTCAACAATAAGAAATCGAAAGTTGTTTACTGTGGGTAATCGTGAAAGCTGTTACTACCGGGCGGTTTGTCGGAGGCTATTCATCAAACAAAAACGCCTTGTTACAATCGAGTCAGACCACAGTAATACTACTCCGAACAATAGCGTACCTAAACAGTTGATACAGAATACAATTATATTCGATGTAGACAAAATGTTGAGCGAGAAAGTGGTGTCGGCTCACTAATGGACAAACTGGGCGCGGAATACACTCCCATATGTATTGAATAAAATTAGTTTGTCTCTGTTCCTATAGTTTAGTTTTTGAGGTAATGTTTTATTATATACTCGACACGCCTTCATATACGCCACATAAATATTAATAAATGGCTGTCCTCAACCTTATCACTTGTTTATCCTCGATTTATTGCCAACGATTTCAACCAGGTATAGATGATATATGGATAAATAGGGTGTCCATACAGTCTTAAAAACTTTTAAAATTACGAACCCAAAGCCCACAAACCCATATGTAATATGACGTTTTCGATTGGGAACCGTTTGACCATTAATTCTAACAATTGAACTGTTTTTGTTTTTTTTTATCACTGGTCAACAAATTTTTTTCGCCAATTGCTCCTATGCTCGTACCAGCCCCAGCCGATATTTTAGCGCACCTGCAGTGTTTCTACTTTCAATTAGGGGCGTTGTTCTGGGTAAACTCTTAAAAAACGAGTGACTTCAATGGCTCTTATCAAACCATATTGAAAATTGAGGACAATTCGAGAATCTGAAACTTAGTAATACAGTCACATAGAAATAGTGAATTCGAATAGATGGTTTAAAATAAATCGTTACCGAAAAACAACTCGCTAAAGTGATTCACAGTTTACTACATCGCGATCTCGTGAAAATGCTTCTAATTCAGCATAGATATTCCCCAGACATCCGAAAGTATTGTACGTATTAGTAGGTTTATGATAAATATCTAAAATAATGTTAGTGGCTGCTCAGGATATCACTCAAGACTAAACACCATCGATTTAGGTTGAATCGACGTAAATCATCGTTTTTAAATAAAAATACATCAAAAATCGTACCTCGTAAATTGCGTTTATATTAGGAATATATCCGCGTGCCATGTCGCACGATTTTCTTGCAGAGAACATAGTTATACGGATTTTATGAAATCCGGCCTTGGTAAACTTGATTCGGTATTTCGTCGTCGGCGTCAAAAATCATATAAATTTGAAATATTGGAAGTATCGAAATATTTTTAAAAGGTAATTATGACGTCACACAATGCATTTCTTATATCGCAAGTATTTTAGGATGTGTTTCAGTAGTGTTTTTCGAGTTTCCATCCACCTCTAATTTTAGGTGCTGCTGTTGCGTGAGAGAAAGTCATCGGTGGACCACAATCTATAATACTAGATTCTAGCCTTCTAGATTTTGGAGAAAAGTCTCTTGTAATTTGACGTCTGGCTTTATACGCAATCGGTGAAATATCTGATATCTTTCTAGTGTTTCAGGTTTTCTACTTTTGATTGAGAATTGCGAAATGAACCTTGTAATTGTCTGCAAAGGTTGTGGCGAATGTTCAAAATATCATTTCGTAAGAAAAGCATCGAGTATGCTGGCGTCCACAATCGATTGAAGTACATAACATTTATAAATATGTGCAAAGATATTTAAGAAATAACCTCAAGTCTATATATATATATATATATTTATATTAGTATTTAGTAGACCTCAAGGTAATAAGTGCACCCAAATCTGACAATGGAAAGTTAAATTAGGCGTAGAAGTAATTTTGAAACCTTAAGAAAAGGAAAACTTTTGGCAATACACGTTCCTCTCGCCATGTGCGCTCTAATCCTTATCTCTGGTTTTGTTTATTCCCTGATTCTAAACTCAAATATTTTATCGAACTTTTATTCTTTTTTTTGTGATTATGGTATGCATCGACCTAGCAGGGTATTCATCGTTTTTCACGACTTTTTCAGATTGTTTTCAATTTTATTCAGAAGCGATCTGTAGTACGAATGCTTCTTGGCCAGTATTATTTTTTCAAAGTTTTCTTAATTTCTAAGTATTTAATCCTGGAACACTGCGATTTCTCGATGAGAGATAATATGTAATGTTTCTGTTTTTTCTCATGAAGTTTTGTTAATTCTTTATCAAACCACTTCTTGTTAGTTTTTTTAGTCAAATGGGAGGGAAATAGCGATCAAAAACTGGCATAGCATGACAAGAAAATTTTTTGAAGGCATTGTTCGGGTCCGATTCTTCTTACACCACAGAGAGATCGATACATACTTACGCCGTTTTAAAATTGGCCCTACTGTTGGGATTAAATGATCGAGAAAAACTGTTTTCCTCGTGTTTAAATGTTTTTTGCTCTATCGGCACACACTGCATTACAGGTGGATGATCAGAGATTGCATCGGTTAGAATAGCGCTGACGGGTTTTCGATTGTATATGTTCGTCCATATATCAAGAATTGTTGCGCTATTTTCAGTTATTCTGGTCGGTTTGGTAACAGTGGGAATGTGGGATAAAAGGAATATTGGTTCATTAGCTCAGTCAGTTCGTTGACAAAATGGTGCGATGTGTCCATCGATCAGATCATAATTAAGATCATCCATTAGTATACTTTGTCTTGAAAGTGAGGGCAAAACAATGTTGAGGCGACTAAAAACTTCCCTGGTTTAGAATTATCGGACAGCGGCGATCGGTAAATAGTACCACAAGTTACAATTCAGTCTTTGAGATAAATGTCAATAAATAACGATTGAAACGTTTTCTCCTCCATTATGGACAATTCCGGTCTGATTTTAAAGGTAATACCATCCCTTATGGTTGCTTCTTGTATTTTAAAGAATCTGTAATCTCGTAAATTTATATGCGCGCCAACTTGGTCATGCAGGTTTGGGCCAGGTTTCGTTAACCGCAATTATATCGGGCCGACTCGTCATTGAATCTAACAAAACTTCCAGTTTGGCAAAATTTTTGGGATTAGCTAGCAAACGCATATTTGCGCACATGGTGAAAAGATAACCATTTCGCTTTGAGCTTGGACAAATCTCTTCAATATCGTTTGTACTTATATATTGACAGTCGCCGTCGATGATATCAGAGATGAAAAGGTCATTTAAGGCTAATGAGTCTAGGGTGCTTACCCCACCTGGAATAGGAGTTGTTTTAAATAAAGTAATCACTTCTGATCTCGATAACTGTCAGAAGAGCAGGCTAATATTAAGATGCTGTCTACAGCACCAGGGAAACAGTCGGGTTCCTTTTCTAATCTCTTGTATTCACTTTGGGATAACCCACTGCATTTTAAATGGATCCAATGTGAACAGTGGTCGCAAAAAATAATATATTCGTTATCTTTTATAATTTCACTACAACCATGGTATGATAAAGTATTATTATTATTTTTTCTAGTAATTAATTAATACCTTCTAATTAACCGGTGACTATTTAACCGGTGTACTACGATGCTAATACGCTTACGGGGTTGCTAGTTATGCGCATATTATGTCTAGCTGACACAACTCCTATATTAAACATCTGAACCGTTGCACTAATTTAAAACTTAGTTTAATTTTACTATATCATCAATTGATTTAAATACTCGCCTTTCGCCATTGTGTTACCATATATCTCGCCGTTCATCGTCCATACACTGTCGAAGGATAGTCGTTTCCGGGCGTCAGTCAATAAGATGCGGCGTCATTCGGTAGAGATTCGGTGATGGAAAGGCCGGTTCCGCGGAGTCTTTGTTTAGCAGTATAAATTTGGTGTTTCACGCTTCGACGAACAAATTTAACAATGATCGGTACATTTCCTTTAAAGTCCTTTAGTAGAATATGTGTTGTATCAATGTCGCCAGGATATTTGAGTTTGAGACTTGTATCCAGAGTCCTCTCTACATTCTACATACATCTCAAATCTCTGATACGGTTTGGACGGCGGAATGTCAGATTGGGGGTGACGAAAAACGGTCGTTGCGTGGTGTCAGGTTAGGGGTGACAAAATACGGTCGTTGCGAAGAAACCTCAATGATTTGATTTCCGCGTGTCAGAATAGTAGCATCACGTTTTGAACTGGACCTATATAATACCAAACATAGCGTATATTCCGGTAATGTTATGAAAAAAAAATATATATATGTATCATAGTTAAAAGTGGTTTTCTATTTGGACTTAATTTACCACCATTATCTTTTTACTTTTTAGATAGATAATACAGCGATATTGGACGTCTAATACATTTAAAGCAAGCATAGGGGTGACGAAATGCGGTCGTTGTGTGTCAAAATGGGTGTGACGAAATAGGGTCGTCGAGCCAAGTTAGGGGTGGCGAAATACGGTCGGTGCGTGGTGTCAGATCGTTGCGAGGCGTGTCAGAATGTAGATGGCAAAATATGACAGAACGTGTCAAATTACCGTAAATCTGGCAGTAGGGTGCCGGTACGCAGTCTGTGACAGCGAGCTGGATGAAATCAAAGATCACTAAAATTTGAAAATGAAATTCGAATGAAAATGAGTATTTATATGTTTATTGTAGCAATTGAGCCTCTGTTACTATCAACCTAAATAAAGATGTGATGGTATACCGGTAGTGACGCCAGGAAATATTGTAAAAACGCCGTATTGTAAAAACAGCCTACGCTCAAAGGAACAATCTTCTCTCGGAACTCCGCGCCCCAGATGTAACATTCAATGAAATTCAAAAAGTCAAAAACGGAGGCACCCAACGTTATGAAATACATCTGCATATTTATTATCTTGTAGTACAATGTTGTCTGAAATGCGTTTGTGTTCGTCGGGAGCTTTAAAACAAGATATGAAAAACGAATAACAGAATATTTTACAGTTAGTTGAATTTGTTTCAAGAAAATTTCCATGTCCTCAAATAGTGTCAAATAATTTTATTCTTATTTCTAACATTTTATGTTACTTGAATATGCATAGAAATGACATGGAAAAACATGTTTTATGTAATCGTGCAATGTGATTGTGATTTAATTTAAATTTGACGTACGACTGGGATCACTCTGCATAGAGCGACTAAAATTAACAAAATCTCTCTATGCAGAGAGATCGAGTCGTATGCCAAATTTAAAATAAATGAAAATCAGCTTATTAAATTTCACTAAACATTGTAAATTATTCCTAAAATTTTTTTAAATTTTTCCGATTATTAATTTGAATAAAATTTTTAATGCAAAGGTATGTTTGATATATTAAACCACTGCTTTATGCTGAGTTTGATCAATAAGAGTGAACAATTCCGTATTAGAACCAGGTCGTCGGTGGGCAGACATCGTAATTCATCATTAGGCCTGCATAAACAAACATTGCGCCACGGCTGAACTTGCTATGCAGCAAGAAGCATTCGCACCCATAACATTGAATAATCTGAGTAAATATGTTTTTGTTATTGAGTAGCCCTATTAAAAGTTGAAAATTAGCTGTGTCAATAAAATATCAAAAATGCAAATTTTGAACTGTTTAGCATTATTATCGTGAACAAGGGCCGCGAAAATTTTTAATATATCAAAAGGGGCCGCGAGCTCAAAAGTTTGGGAAGCCCTGATCTAGACCAGTGATTTTCGACCGGTAATTCAATTTCGACCGGTGAAAGACCTCCAGGTGTTCCGCGAAAAAATGCCTTTTCGAAGTAATATGACGTCATTCGAATAATGTAAATAGAGTTGATTTGAAAACGGCGAGTCAGAGTTTTGGAAAGTCGGTATAAAAAACTTGTAACCAGATAAGAAATGACAGGCCATATTCCCTTTTAATAGACCTTATCTCGGCGTGTATTTTTAGTGATCCATTCCATTCTTGACCAAATAATGTTTCAAAAATGTGAACATTATACTCGACCATGAATGGAGTCATCATAGGAGTTGATTACATTCGTTGCATTTTGAAGCTTTTCTTGCAGTAATAATTAGGGCGTGGCATCATCAAAATCGTCAAGTGAAGTGTTGAATTTGCAAATTCCGTAAATAAAATTGTGAATTTGTAGGTAACGATTTTAGCTATGATAATGGTCGCAGTATTGTTTTGTTGGAAAAGAAATGCCGATGTGAACGCATATAGTTAGGCTTACCATACGTCCGGCTTTAGGCGGGACAGTCCCGCTTTTTGGCGTCTTGTCCCGCCGTCCCGACAAGTCAGCCAAATGTCCCGCTTTTGCGTTCAGCCATCCAGCATAATA